TAAAATTCGATTTTTGCCCTAATTTATCTTATAAATTGGGAGCTGTCCTTAGACTTTATCATTATCATAAAAAAGATATAAAGAGGGCCTAGAGAAGATAGGCGTGTGATTTTCTTTCGTGAACATTTTTTTTATCATAGTGCATTACTACAACTATGGGAGAGGACATAGTCTGACGAACCTTTCTAAATGTTGTTATTCTTTCTTAAAATTGATTGATCTCGATGGAATATAATTAAGTTTATAATTCTCAACATTTTGAAGAACTAGAATTGATTTAGGCAGGGATATGTAAAGATGGCAATGAATCGAGTCGAGTCGGCTCGGCCCGTATGCACACAAGCTCGGCTCGTGCTCATCACGAGCCGAGCTTGAGCACGAGCCGAGCTCGTGGGTCTTTACTCATAAAAAAAAAAATTTATTAAAAATAAAAAATTAATTATTCGCCAAGACGAGCCCACGAGCTGCACGCCCGTGGGCAAAGCGAGTCAGCACGCTCGGCTCGTGCTAAATGACGAGCCCGTGCCGACGAGCCTTTGCCAGTTGCCACCACTAGGGATATGATAGAAATATTTGAATCAAGGAGTTTTGTATGGAGAATATTATTAGCCCTGAATTAGCCGCCTCTTGAGCCTGCATTCTGTTCTGGCAGTACATCTAAGCTTCAATGAACGTAAGGTCACAAACAAAAAGGCATGTGTCAAGTCCAACCCAAAAAAGGCAACAATCTCGTATAAGTGATTTTTGTTTGGAATCTTCAATGACTAATCTCAACCGAATACTTTTCTGTCCATTGAGAATTAGGGTTGAAAACATCCATTAGGCTGCAGATGTGTTGTCTCATCAACTGCTTCCTTAAACCTAAGAGCTTGTTTGACCCCCCATTTTTTCAGAGGAATGGGTTTTGTAATAATATGATTTTATTTTATTTTTTCTTAAAATGTGCGATTAAAAAGTATGAATAAATTTTAAGTTTACGTATAAAATTATTTTATTGAAAGCATGTGTAATTGAAAATGAGTTTGACAAAAAATAAGGTTTTATGGAATAAGACTAAGCGCATGTCTGTTTCTATTTTCAATTTGAGAATGCATTTTTG